GAAGTGAGAAAAAAGTGTTTATTACGTTTGAAATATGGATATTTATCTTACAAAAACGCATGGATTCGCTACAGGAGGCCTTTATTCACCCCCGGGAGCCGTGTGAGGGACGTTTTATTACGGATGCGTGCACTTTATTTCACGTCTTCTGAACTGCTGACAACCAACACCGCTTACCCCCATTGAAAGGCTTGGAGGGGCAAGGACAATTTTTTTATATAACTCCAATTGGATTCGTCTGAAAGAAGAAAGTCACATACACATAGGATGCTTCGAGGGTGAGTAAAACACAAGCTAATTTTTTAATTTTGGGGTGAACTAACCCTTTAAGATCCTGTAAGGTCCACACACTTGGCCCAAGGAAGGTATCCAGTGGTGGATGAAGGTCACTTGTGTGTTCGGTCTTTTCAGCGCGCAGAGTTATTCAATTTAGGTTTAACTGAAATCTGACTCCATTTTATTATCTAATCTGACCCCATTTTAGTATGACCTCGAATTTTGGTTGAAAGGCAAATTGGTTGTTTGTCGGTCTCTAATTATTCTGACATTTGATTATTCTAGTTAACTCTTTACTTTGTATTTTCTCGTTCATTTAGGATGCCTCACGGCGGCCGCTATGCGTGGGCTCCACGATCACAAAACTCACCATTCTAATCCTTATTCAGAGGTTTGTGGCTAATACTATTTAATATACCTTAAATAGTAGGTCTGTTTAGCCCCCTACAGTTACCCATGTAATACTCAAACATTAATCAGCGGTTCTTCTAGAACCCCTGTCTAGACCCCGACAGTTAATATAACTACGTACAACTTAATTAACGCTCCAAACATTAATCAGCGGTTCTGCTAGACCCTTTGTCTAGCCCCCGATAGTTAATATAACTACGTACAACTTAATTAACGCTCCAAACATTAATCAGCGGTTCTGCTAGACCCTTTGTCTAGCCCCCGATAGTTAATATAACTACGTACAACTTAATTAAAGCTGAAATTATATGCATGGTTAACGTAACTGAGTACAACTTAAACTAAGGTCAAGCGGTTAGTCAGAAATCTATAATCTCACCTGATGTGC